TATATATATATATATAATAGACATATGGAGGTTAAACGGGGTGTGCGACGTCATAAATTCTAGTAATTGGAGAGGCGCAAAATGAGCCAGCCGATCCAAGTGTTAGGAGTATTTTGTCTCAAATCCTAGAAGATACATTATTCGGTAAGGTAGCTTGTAATGAGACCCAAGTAGAGGGAGATAGATGGAATTAGCTGTCAAAACGGGTCTCTGCCACACCGGGGAGGATGGAACCAGAATGAATAAATGTCTATGCACTATGAGGGATTGGTCGTGGAGCGATGTGCCACCGGCAATAAATATGAGAACGATGTGTCAATCCCAAGCAGAGACGTAGGGAAACCTTGGGGTCAAGCAAATTTGTGGGACAAGGGTTTGACAGCGATCAAAATACCTTGGTTAAAATGGTGGTGAAAGACGGAACCCAGAGGAATTGAAGTTCGGAAAAATAACAGACGGTTCGAATGTGTTTCCTCATGAGACAGTACCCCGAAAACAAGTCGCTACAAGTAATTCATCCTCACTTAAATGAATCCCTACAGCTAACTATCGAATGGGACAAAACCTGAGGTTGAAATTAACAACTTGGTTCCACATGTTTCATCACGATCCCTATTTTTCGCAAACTCCGCCATTGCTCAGTCTCTAACTGACGACTGATATCCCTCTGTCTTAGTTGCTCGTTTGTCTGTGTGCCACTTGTGCTCATCGATCCCGGTATGAAACTCCCTGGCTGTTCCACAAACGTAAACCTAGGTGCAATCGTGGGCGATCCAGGGTGGGCTTACTCGACTAAAAGTTGCTAGAGCTATACTCACGAATGCTGTCCTCGGATGGGCTTATTAGTGCTTGAGACTTCACCAGCGTCTGTTGGTTTCAGGTAAGCAGCAGTTTTTAGTTTTCTACCAATCTTGTGCGTGGTCCATCCGTAGTGGTCTCTTGTCCGAGGCTGAAATTGATGTGAAGATCCAAGGTACTAAGATACCCCATGACAAAATGCCAAATGGACACTGGAATGTGGTTAAAGCATTTTGTTCAAATTCTTCACACATATTGGCCGAAACTGGGGATATCGAATATCTCTTCGCCAGACCTTGTCCAGCGTACGTAACTGAGTCAAAATGAAGGTGGCTACTTTCAGTCATCACATCTGACGACGGTTACGTCCGCCTAACAGGATGGCAGGAACAGAACCAAGAGCAACCGCCTCGCCACCTCCAGAACGTGTCTTAGGAAGATTCGTATAAACTTGGATGGAAATGGAGGACAATGGTGAGCGATTGCATCTGCTGCGTGCTAATCGCAGACTGCTTTTATGCAGTACTATCTTCCAGAATAGCCGATGTCTGGTCACATGGTGTCCTTCAACGGCATGCGGGCCACAAACCCAAATCAATCACATAGCCATCGAAATCCGATGGCGCGGATAAACAACTGACTATCCGTCGTTTTGGAACACATTTGTGGATTCCGACCTCGTGATCGTCCGGGGTCGCTTCCATATACGTTTTCCAGGGCCGCGTAAGGTGTGGACAAATAGCTTGGCAACTGAGGAACTGGCAGATCCGGATGTTAGACGAACTTATCAGAGTCGCTCCCAAAGGTTCCAACATCAGATGCGAACTTATACTGGGACCAGACTGCCACCTCGATGTGACTGGACACCACCAGGCGCACTCAAGCATTGGATATCAGGCCACTCATCTGAAGTCCACAGCTGACACAGAACCCTGGACGGTGAATGTGGAACCATCTACGGCCTTGGAGGTTTACGACCGCATATGTTCTCTCAGGCCTTTTGGCCCGAATGACCTTCAGCCTGAATTGTTCCAAGATGGGGGTGAAGTCCTCAGTCAGCCCGTCTGATCTGTTTGCTTGCATTTGGGAAAAGGAGTCTGCCCCAGACAGGGAAGGTTCAGTTTGACCCTGATCGTAACGAGATTGCTGGAGTCACTGGTGTTTGATCGCCTCATAGTGGCTCGTGAAACATTAACTCAAAAGAAGAGGGACTCCGGCCTGACAGAAGTTGCGTTGACCAAATCTTCACCTTCCATCAGGTGCTAGAACAAGGCTATACGTATAAGCGACCAACAATTCTAGTATTCCAGGGCGCATTCATCTTGGCTAAACGGTCCGTTCTTGACACGCTTGCCCACCAAGGAATGCCTCGGAAATTCATGAACCTAACGAGCTCTCTTTATTCTGGGACTTCCAGACGTGTGAGTATACGGTGGGCTCTCCAAAAGGTTCCGTACACAAACCGGTGTCCGTCAGGGATGCTCACTTTCACTATTTCTGTTTAACTCGGTGATCGATGGAATTATGAGACGAACTCTGGAAGGCCTCCAAAGCCCCAATGTTTAAATAGCCTGTGACGAAAACCCTGACTATCTGGAATATGCATGCGATATCACTCCCGTCTTCAAAGAGGTGCATGTGTTTTTGGATGAACTGGTCAAGTTATCCCGTCCTTTCGTATGCACTGTACACCCACAAAGTGTAAGGTCATGTTCCTGGAAATGCAGTTACTAAGCGCACCATTTACAATCCAGAAAGCGGCACTCAAAGTTGTGGAGCGTTTTACGTATCTCGGAAGTCGTAATAGTTCTCATCGTAGTGTGACAGGTCAATACACGGATCTCCAAGGCCCGGGTGGCGTTTGCTGGTTTGAGACGACTATGGCGTCAAAGTGGTGCATCTCTGAATCTCAAGGTTTGTTGTATGACGGTGAAAATTTTCCTTCTCGAGCAGCGGAACTGAGACGTCCTCAGCTGTTCGAGAATTTTTGTGTCAAGAGCGTAGGTAGTGTCGTTTGGTGTCTGAAAGTCCGTAACGAGGCAATTAGAAAGCGCAATTTCGTCCTGTAAGTGAAGTCAATCTACGCTGAAAAGTCGAGAAGCACTGTATAGATGTTTCATCCTTATTGGGATTCATCAGCAGTGCACATCTCACGAAAGCTGATGATTCCCAATAAGGATGAAACAGCTGTACAGTGCTTCTCGGTTTTTCAGCATAGATTGGCTTCATTTACAGGACGAAATCTCCACAAAAATTGCCAAATACGCTCACATTACAAACAAGCCATAAGTAGCTCAGTGGAAAAATAAACTTTAACCGATGAGTGAAACTTCCATCTGAGGAGTCGTTGCTCGAGGGGCCAGTCAACACGTGTGACCGCGTGACGTGGATCCCGTGATTGAAGGAGGAGCGGCGCTATATCCTGTTTAAGTTAACCACACTGCTGATCAGCTGCTCGTGGCATAACCGTTATGTATTCAAACTACTAACCAAAAGGTCGCGGGTTCGAGACTTTCCGGAGTTTCGGGAGATTCGCAGGATGAAATAGCTGTACACTGCTTCTCGGCTTTTTAGCGTAGAATGGTTTCATTTACAGGAAGAAATCTCCACAGAAATTCCCAAATCTCCTCACACTATCAACAATCAAAAAGCGAGTTTTCGGCTGCGCAATGGTACTTCCACTGAAGGATGTGTCCAGCATCAGAATCTGCGCTGTTTGGGAAATGTGTTGCCTATGTCGAACCATCGTTTGCGAAGAGAGTGCTGTTTTCCGTGCCCAACTCACCGTGGCGGAAGCATGCAGGTGGCCAGCCCCTGATATGGTAGAGTATGCAGGAGATGATCAAACGATTGGGTGTTATCGGTGCTACTCGCCTTCCAGGGTGGGGACCGCGTCATCCCCAGCGCGCCTGGTTGGAGACGTTTCAAGATATGGCTGCTGTCAGTGACGTCTTTGTTGTCAGTTTCTATCCCGATTGCTCGAATGAGGGCTGCAGATGTAGGCACATCGGAATGAGTGAGTGTACTAAGCTAGCACAAAGTCCCTTCCTCATCCACCTTTATTCCTTTCTTCACAAGTCTTTCAAATAAATCATGGTTGTACGGTAGTGAAGCATTGGTGTTGAACATTGATGTCATGCGGTTGACCACGGTGATGATGATGGATGATACAACAGCTAACGAAGGGACTTCGGTTCGCTCCAGAGGAAGAAACCCACCCACTTCCTTAGCAAAATCCTATGAATTTTGAACATGTGCGTAGCTTGCCGGGAAGTGGTTTTAGAATACCTGCCAGAAATCTGGCTGGTTCATGATGGTGAACCCATGTCATCCATTATTGGTCTTGGGAGGATACCTGCCTTGTTAATCTTAGACAGCTCATAAGGTCGCAGTTAGACTGCCCTTTTAGTGAAAAGAACGCTTGCAGTGAACTCGCATAGGCATTGGCTATATTTCCACGAGCCTCTCTTGGATGGATTTCTGTAGTTGGTAACACGAGACGGCGCCGCAGTTAAAAATTGCCGTGGACTTTATACCGCGGGCGAAAGAGACGTTGATTTGACAAGGAATAGAGAAACACGAGCTGAAAGTGTCATTTGGTGCTGGATACTAAATGTGACTGCTTGTCAGGAAACCTGTACATGAGGTAATAGACCGGGAAGAAACTTGTCTACAATATTCTGCAAGTGGATGAATTTCGATACGGTGTTACGTCAAATGAGGAGTGGACACTGAGGATTACCACCAAACTAACTTACCTAATGATAACTGATCCTGATCAAGATCATCGCAAAGCAGTGGAATAAATGCAGGTGCTGGGTAAACGTGTCTTAAAGATCCTTGGGGAACCGAAACGAGGTCAGTTGGTGGGGCCAAGGTCGCTACAATCTTCTTGACAGTGTCCTTGAATGACACAGTATTCACAGACGTGCCACAAACGGGCCTTTTTGATTTTTCGGTTGATTCCAAGGTCCTGTTGGTAGGTTTACGCCAAATGGATGCCTTCGTATGCCAAGCATGACGTTTATCACACTGTCAAAGGCGAAGAGTCGAGAAAACGAGTGGACAGATAATCCCGATATGAATAAAAATAAGAGGCTGACTGTCTAGTGATTAAGTAGTGAGCAGTGAACACAAACCCAAGAGATTGTCGGCAGCAACCAGTTTTTACAAGAAATTCGAGTTAAAAATAAAAATATACCGAAAATGGTGGAGACCTCTACCTGGTTAGACCATAAAAATAAGCATGCTCACGAAAACGAAGAACTGACTAAAACAGATGAGGCTGCTACTGAAATTTTTTCAGCCGTTACAAATAGAAATATCCGTAAGGCAGCCCCTTGTTTAGCACACTGATCACACTGGAGAAAGATAATGCAAACAAGCTAGCCAGGGCACTTCCAAATGATTACCATCATCATCCACAGCATAACATCAGTTATCAATACTGATGCTTCGCTGTTATACAACCATAATTTACTTGGAAGCTTTATTGTGAAGCAAAAGATGAGTGGATGGGGAAGGGAGGTGGTGCTAGCCTACCACAATCATGCCGAGATACCTACATCTCCAGTGGTTAGAGCGCGAATTTACTGGCCAGAAGGTCCGTCGTTCGAACCTGACCTGTGCCTCTCGACTTCCCTTGTCTAGGCTTGTACGACCTGGCTGTATCCCAGCCCTCGTGCTTCCTTCAGGTAGCACAGCAGGCTAGGCACACTCCAGACAGTCACTCAGACAAACTGGATAGAAGTTTACGAGATACCACTGACATCAGTTGGAGGTCGCATCTTGCAGTGTCGCCCTCCATGTACAATAAGCCTCACGTGGACGCCATTCTGGAAGACGAGTCACACTGACAGTATCCACGATTCTTGTGGTTAATTCTGGCAAAACACAGGATACCACTGACATCAATTGGAGGTCGCATCTTGCAGTGTCGCCCCCATGTACAATAAGCGTCAGGCGAGTAACACTGACAGTACCCACGATTCTTGTGGTTAATTCTGGCAAAATAACTTGCTGTGCGTTAGACCCGAACAACCGAAATTACCTGTGAACAGGAAAGGTGTCCTCAGTGACTATAGCCAATGGCTATGCACGATTCTTTTAATTCTGGCAAAATAACTTGCTGTGCGTTAGACCCGAACAACCGAAATTACCTGTGAACAGGAAAGGTGTCCTCAGTGACTATAGCCAATGGCTATGCAGCAAGTGGACAAGGCGCGCTGAAAAGTAGTGTCACCGTCCGCTAACTGCATCAACGACGTCCCTTGCTCATCTAATTCGGTCTATATTATTAACTTTGTTCAGCTATTCGGATTTGTTCAATTCGATGGTCGGACAATTTACCATTACATTCTTGTTGATCAGGTCAAACACAGATCATAAACTATCCTATCCATCAAACCAAATTATCAAAGGGATTGCTTTCCTTCCTAAATATATCTCAGATCCTCCACTCGAAGTGGCCAAGCCTCGCAACGGTACAACAAACCACGTGATGAGCAGGGTACATGAAACCTACGCTGGTGGAGAATCGGTAACACGCTCGCGTTGCAAGTCAAATGTGCTGAGTTCAAATCAGGAAACGGCCGTAGATATACATTACTGAGGAACACTAATAAGGGCGAAGTTTGAGTCCAATGTTTTCTGTAACTGGGCGGACTAACCAGAGTAATTGTGCCGGGACTGGTGAAAGACTGTTTAGAGAAGAGTGATGTGAATACAAACTCGGTTACCTCCTTTGACAGCTGCATGATGTGTGTAGCAGGTCGAACGGGACGGAACGACGTTGAATGAAAAATTTTCAATGGATCATGATGGACAGGATCGATCGCGGAACAAAAGAGCTTTCGTCCGGTGGGTTTTACTAAAACAATGACTCAGACAGCATATTCGTTCTACGCGAAAGGTGTCAATTATTCTGCTTGCACCGGAGCATTCCTTGTGGACAAGTTTTTAGCCTGCTGTAAGCACACCGTATCAACTCACTTCTGATGAGCTTCCTCATCCGCTACAAGTTCATCTTTTTACGTTAACCTAGCGACCAGAAAAAAATGGCGGCCAATCCCCTGCGGTCTTTTTTTTCGTTAAGATAACTGAGAGCACGAAACTCCTTATGTAAAGGAGTAATATTGTACTGGAACCATATCAACGTTCGTTAGGCAAACGGAGACGCACCCAGTTGGGGCATTAGGTACTCTTGTAGAAACCCTAGATACGCTGCACCTAGACATGGAGAACTGAGACGGTTGATATTTACTTACCAGCAATGTCACCTTCGAAAAATATGGACCAGTTACCATAGGCAAAATAATCCGGCCCGTAGAAATAACCTCGAACAGTGAAAAATCCTAAATGCATCGATCCCGTTTGGAATCGCCCCACCCAAATAAGTAGTGTTGGTTTTGTTCCTTCGGCTCGCCAATAAATAGCAAGTTGCAAACGTCGATGAACAAAACGCCCTACAACACATTCCGTATTGGCAAAGTTGAGCTTCCGCTAGCGCGTTGGGTACTCTGGGCATCTCATATGATACCAAATTGTGCGGGTTTTCCGGTGATAGTCACGCATCTGTATGAGGCATTTTCTGTTCCAGAATAAGTAGGTGATGCGGGCCTTTTATCATCAAAAGGACACTTATGGTTGTCGTTGGAATTCTATCAGTATGTTCAGAACCAGGATAGTGTACTGTTATCACAACATCCGCTGCAAATATCTATTGGAATGAGTTCCAGGAGCCTGTACTTCTCCTTCAAAATCAACCAGACTTTGCATGTCGCATCCAGCGTCAAGATGGTAAATATAAACGAAATTTTAGTACCGCAAACCCTATAAAGCATAAAGGCTTAAAATGAAAATAAATAAATAGGGCAGAGAGGAGGACCCAAGGCTAGACTGCAACAAACGACCGAGGCGTCTACACTCAGTCAGAAAACCTGGATAAAAACTGTCAGCATGAATGTCGCCACACCCGTGAGTGTTTCCAGGCAGGAAAGATCAGGTGGCCTGGAAAGCGAACAGCACCAAAGGTTTCGAACTTTTAGTAACATCCTTCACTCCCTTTTGACATGTCTTTTCTATTCACTTCTAGGTTTCTTCCACTCCGAATTAAGCACAGAAAAAGCTCTAGTCCCGGTAGGCGGTGACTCGCTATGCGTACCATGACCCGGCCAACTCAACTTACAGTGCCATATGCATTATTTGAGGGAAGTATAATAATGACAATAATAATAGTTCGGATTCAACACACCTTCTGTGTCTAGCTTCCACGCCACCCGACAGAAGCACGAGGGCCGAGATACCGTCAGGTTGCTCAAGCCTAGACAGCAGCAGTCTAGACGCTGAGGCTGGGTTAAAACCACGGACTGTCCAGTCCGTGTCTTTAACCACTGAGCTATCTCGAATTACTGTCTGCTTCACCAAGACCCATTCTCCGTATCATCTCAACACGAATTCTTTGGTTCCAACAGATTCCAGCTATAGTTCTGAGGAATCACTGTTCAAAGACCTAAATATGTCTCAGATCCTCCGCCCGTTCCATGTTGACAAGGTTCTCCCTCAGAGATCTCAAAACCGAGGTTGTGTAGTCCTCCCAGTATTTGCCTCATTACCTAATCAGTGACGGAATAGAAAGCGTAGACACCCTTTTTTGACAACTGCTCGCAGCGAGACAACTCTCCATACACTCTCACGCGCCCACGAGTATGTGAATGTAAAAAGCACATGCACAGCAGGTGGGATGCAATGCTGGTGGTAAATACTACATAAATGAGCCGTTCAACTGCCTAATGGACAAGTAAACCAAATATTTTGGAGTCACACTGATACTTAGCTGAACAAAGATAGACTTGACAAGCTGCACCTTTATACATCCGTGTCATCCAGTACATCATCTACCTCGGTCTCTAGATAAGCCGATCACACTGCACGGACCAAAACAATGGAGGGCAAACATGATGAACCAGAAGAGTAAGGCGACCAGAAAAGCACGCTGGGAGGTGGTTCTGTCGTATTATACACAGAAAGTTTGTTAGATGGCTTAACGGTAAATAAAGCAAACATATGGGGGGAATTGTTGAGTAAAATGAGGATTGGATCATAACGAAAACGAAGCTGAAAAACGAGGCAGATGGTCAACTTTGTTCTCAGTCATGTTCTGTCATACCAAACAGTACAAGCATCCACTGTCATGCGTCCGTTTTGCAAGAGGAAATAAGCAAAAGGGGACGTTTGTAGGCACTTTCGCTATTCATGTCTTTCTGGCGGACCATCAGACGAAATTCTCATGCGTCAAACCAGTACTGGCCGCGCTTAATCCTCAAAAAATGAACCACACAGCGTGGGTTGTTGTAAATATGCACACCTTACTGGCAGTTTGTGAAACCATAAACAGTGTACCAAGTATAAATTGTTTATTCATCAACGTTGGGGACAGCGAACGCGGTACGTTCGCTCATTACAAACAGCCCAATCAAAGCACCAATTGCTATCAATCTTATGAATCTCAACGCTACAAACTGGAAACCGTAACCACACAACGAACTGAGGAGCATCTGATTATCGAATCCTGTGTGGCGCTTAAAGGAAACCGTACACTGACGAATGCAGTTTTGTACGACCGAACGTCAGTGGGATGCACAACAGTGAGCAAGTTATGTAGTTCAAGTAACAACTTACCAATCGACCTCGGCGACAGCGGCCTCGGAGAAAATCTGGACAAAGTGGGGTGTTAGCCGGATATGTGACGTGTAAATAGGGACAATGACTGCGCGTGCATCCCTTGCTTTCATGAAACTCGCAAACGGGAATTCGACACGGGTCAAGAACATGGGCCAGTGGACAGGCGGTGCTCCCGAGAGCACATCGTTGACTGAGAAAGCTGAAAAACGGTAAAAGACAGCAGTGGTGTTGGTAGCAGGTTCAGTAGTACATCTTAGTATAGACATATGGCATCCGGTAAGTCATTCGGTAAAACTGAAAACCGTTCATTAGCTACCACAAACAGAAGGACTAGCGATCCATTCGAGGAGGGTACTCTTGATTTTCGTGTGCAAGAACAAACAAGATGACGAAAATCGAGATGGATAGATGTGGTCAGAGATGTTGATCTTTACAAGTTCCAGAAAATTCGGAATCGAAACAGACGCTGTGAGCGACCACATTGCAAAGTATGATTATGCAAAGTCCAGCTTTACACCCCATAAAGTTAGCTACCTCCGGTCCCTCCAGTATAAACGCCACTCAAACACACGAGTCTTTTCTCGCCTTTCTCCAGCTTTGCGGGGCGAGATGGCTCAAGTGGTTAGAGCGCGAACTTAATGCCCGGAGGGTCCGTCGTTCGAACCCAACATCTGCCTCTCAACTTCCCCTCTCTATGCTTGGGCAACCTGACAGTATCACAACCTTCGTGCCTCCTTCAGCTGACATGGCAGCTAGGGATCGGAAGGGCGTTACAGCTGGGCGCTCTATTACCTCTCCAATTTTTCAGGAAATAGCTAAGGATTCTGAATGAAAGGTTCTAAATGAAAATCGACCAAGTGTGCTACAAATGCTACTCTTCTGAAAAATAGAGCAGGTGGATCGTCGTTACCACATGTCAATAAGCTTAGTTAACTCCACGAATATCCTGTATATGAACACTAAGCAGTCTCTCGTGCGTCTCAATTCTCAGGAGGTCATTACACCACACACAATCACTGAAGCCGTTAATGGCGAAGAGTTTCATCAGCATCCTCATCACAGACATAAAATTAGTGCTGGTAATGACGTACCACCGTACAAACAGCTGGTGCGGTTGCAGTGTGCGCACAAGTAGCCTGCGAAATACGCTCTCAAACGCAGATGCCATTAAAATGGAATCAGTTGTTGCTCATTCGTTAAGGCGGTGTGGAAGTCCAACAAGTGTGGAAGCCCGACAAGTTGCGGGATTCAAACTCGATGAGTTTCATGAGATGCACACTGCTGATGATTCAGAATAACGACGAAACAGCTTCTCGGCTTTTCAGCATTGATTGGGTTTACCTACAGGAAAAAACCTCCACTGAAAATTAAACAGTCTCCTCACACTACCATCAATCTACACGTAGCTAGGAGGAAGAGTAATTTCAAAGAAATGAGTGGAACTTCTATCTGAGATGTCATCACACAGACGTCAACAGTGACCACGCGACGTGGACTGCGGGGCTGAAGAAGGAGTGATGTTATATCCTGCCTAGTTGCAGATTAATCACACTGCTCATAATCCGCAGTGGCCGAACGGTCGTGTTCAAACTACAAACCTGAAAGTCGCAGGTTCGAGACCCCATGGAGATCCGTGAGCTGCGTACTGATGAGGACTGCCAATAAGGACGAAACAAACAGTGTTTTTCGACTCTTCAGAAGTAACTGGCTTCACTTACAGAACGAAATCTCAAATGGATATCGGAAATGTTCGTTTGTCGATAGCGAAACATCCCAAGCGTCCATTTTAGCTTACAGGTTACTAGAGATGCTCCATTGTGACGCGATGAAATACTGGCAAGGTCATCTCAGCTGAATGATGAGCTGATTGCGACAAAACAGTCACACCCAGCGAACACCTCATCCAACAATTGTCCAAAACAAACTATCACCATCGTTCTCGATGTTTCCCGTTAAAAGTCTTGATATTATCAAGATCAATTCAGTGCCCAAATCGACCAGCGATAAGTTTTTTCGTAATATATTAGCAGTCGATGCGAACAGCGGGGCTGGATACGTTGTGGTTGAGCGAAAAACTATATGCAGTTGGCGGATAGGAGAAAAACTCCCACATACCGGTGCGGCATCACTCGCCAAAACCCATTTACAAGTAGTCAGGGGATGTCGAATCTGGTGTGCTAAAATGCGGGAAATTCGAGAAACTTAACAAATGCAAAAAGTGGTGGATCATAACTCTGCTTCCCGGCATATTATATCTGTCCACTGCGCAAAAACGCGGACCAAGTCGAGCACCGTATTTGCGGGTACACAGGTGGCTCTTCTAGTAAGACCGCTACCAGAATATACACTTCTATTTGGCCCCTATGAACATTACGGTGTCAGGTTAGCTTACATAAGACCCATTTGGGTTGGTCTCATAAGGTGCTTTTTCCGATTGGAGACAACTGGATCATACCGCAAGTGGTTGTGTTATAATCACAATATGGTGGTGATTGGAAGCAGGAGTGACTTACCGGGGGCAAATTCGTAGGTAGTTCTTGTCATGCACAAAACGGCAGCTGGTACCGGCATCACATCGTCCGGTCTTAGCGAAACTTCTACAGATAGGTCGGCGTCGATAACGCAAACAGGTCACAGCTTTTTTAACTATACGCCTGCAAGAGTGTTAGCGAAAATTGACCTCACCTGTAGTGATGTGACGAAGGCAAGTATTGCTTATTTACAGCAGGTTTCAGCCTCCGTATGGCGTACCGAGAAACCAACTTATAGCCAACAAGATCTCTGCCACGTTCCCAACGTGTATGGAGAGTTCTTTCTAAGGATGGCCTTTTTATCTGCCGTAGTACGGGAAGCCGACTATACTTGAAACGTGTACTAATGCTGCGGCATACTTCATGTTTGCTGACCAGCTCAATTTTAGAAGCCTGAGACTTCTTGCTGCTAGTCCATCTACGGATATACTTGTACGCGGTGTGCTGCCGCGTCGGGATACTGAGTTTCAAAGTGGCGGATTTTCCACTTTTTTCTATCAACTTTTTGCTAACATACTTGAATCTGGATCGTTTTGGGGCTGCTCTTTCACAGCGCGGGGAAGTGGACGTGAAGGGCGGGAACAGAGGCCCTAGAGTCTTGCTAGAGGCTATGGACTTGAGGCATTGGTTGCTTGGTCCCCGATCGACATCAACTTCACTATTAGCATTCTTAACGTATTTATATTTATGTTGCCTCTGGCAAGGTTGTGCCACTTTATTGGGGACCCATTTGTAGGGATGGCCTGCATAACTATACATAACCACGCATCAAAAAGCTACTGACAATTGTAGTAGAAAGTGAGCTACTGACAGAGTGACTTGCATACAAAAACGGGCTGAAAATAAAAAGGAGTATCAGCAGGTTGCAAACAGATTAAAACAGATTAAATGCTTGTGAACATTAATAGGTAACCACTCAGTTACATCACACTAAATACTGACGGCACCCCAATGGACACCATAAAAGACATAAATTAGTGAATGTGTGTTAGGGTAGCATACGATCGGTCACCACACTTGGTTGATCTTACATTGTTGTTCTTGAATGTATCTTACTGGATAAGTAATAAAACAAGGCTCTTGATGCTTGCTAAGTATATCCACCTAACCAAATCACCAAAACAGAGTGGCCTTCGTTGAAATGGGGCAGGGAAGTGACTAGAACTGCAACTGGGATATTTAGCCACAACAATGGAAGTATGGCGAGAAGAGATATCAGACTTCTAGTCTGCAAAGGATTAGGCTTCTGTCCGTCCGCAAACCCACTCTTGAGTGACACAAATTATCTCGGGCTTTGCGGGAAAGGCAAAAAGATTGGTGAACTACGTCACGCAGCCACAGAACCGCACCTTCAGAAACAAGTCTTAAAGTCCTTACATCAACGCAGTACAGTTCAGCTTGTCGTGCTCCATTCAGAGGAGACATGAAGACAACAATCAAAGGAGAATCAAGGAAACTTCCATAAACCTACATCGCCCGTCTGTTGACACCTCTAGAGCTGTTGCATGAAGTTTCTAACATCTGGGAGGGAAGGGGACACCAGATGACTACAAAAACTCACTGAAAACGAAGCCCAACTGTTGCAGAACAATTGCTAGTTAATTTTTAAAGGCCGTAGGGAGGAAGAGGGAGAGAGGATATCTGTTACCATTCGCTTGTTCGGCCGTGCCTACACCTCTGAATGATTACCCGATCACTGAAGAAAACAAATTATAGTGATCAGCCACCACACACTGTAACGTGTACAGCCAAACGTAGACAGCGCCAAAAGGGTCTCATCCTTGAAGACTTACTGACCCAAAAGTACGAAAGCTTTTCGCAATTTTCTCTAAACTTTCCATCAAGCAGTAAGTTGTCAACCTCACGGTTTGTGTCGCACTTAATGAAGTGCGGATGACAGTACTAGCTCTTGTAAACAGCGATACTGCAGCGGCCAATCAGGATCACCGTGGCAAACAGTAGTTTCACGTTGCATTCTCCTCATAACGTTCCTTCTGCATTCTGGTGTTCATTCGAACTCTCAGCCACTTGTTCGTGTTATTCCCCAAGGAACAATTGTGTACTCCTTCGTCTTACCTAGGTAAGCACTTGGTTTCCTTCAACACAACCGGCAATATAAGTGATCGCTTCTCGCTTTGTTTAAATGAAAATGGAAATGTGGCTTCTCCCAAGTGGTACAATGAGCGGTTCTTTCTCTGATTCATCGCTTTCCAATCGCTTTCTGCCGTATTTGCCTCTGCTGTCACGTTCCAAATACCGGAAACATTTCGTATATATATATATATATATATATATATATATATATAT